CTATAACGAAATATGATGAGATTATAAATTAACGCATGGTATAAGCAACAATTTTAGATAGTTTAATTATGGCCAGATATGTTAGCATTGTAATAATGGAATTCCAATGTTAGCAACAAGTTTAATTAAAACATTTGAAGAGAAATTCCCTTAGGTAGTTCTTTTTTGTTTATTTTCAAAAAAATAGTCTCCAACAAGAAAAATGACTAAAATAAGTTTTTTTTAAAAGGATAAATATGCACTTACACCCCTAGGGTTAACTAATCTATACTTATGGTTTAGAGTAAGGGGTGGATTTTGGAGATGGAGTTCGAAATTTTTTTATTTTTTTCTGATAAAAAATGGCTATTTTGGTTATTTTATTTTTGGAAGGTTATTTTTGTGACCAAAACTAAAAATGCTATTTGAGAGAATTACCTATTAATAAACAATACAAAAATGGTATAGGACATTATTTGGTTGTTATGATAATGGTTAGCTATAATACTTAGTTGAACTCAATAGGTTGAATAAAAAGAAATAGGTGCAACAAACTTTTTTAGGTAGTTTGTTAGGATAATAGTATGGATGATACACCTACTTGAAAAAAGAAGTTGATATGATACTAGAGCTTGACTCGTGCACCTGCTCAAGTATTTTTTATTTTATTTTATGTAACTATATATTTATTTTGTATAAACGATATTTTATAAACAGTCATATGTGTTTTTAACATTTACATATATTAAATAAATGTTTAACATACTATTTTCAAAACAATTTATCATTATATTGAGGAATTTTATTTTTCTTTTTAAAACACTTACCTATTTTGTAATGCTTATTTCTTAATTATTTTTAACATTATTTAATTTGAAAATAAACATTTATTGTTTTTAAATGACAAAATATAACAAGCTAAAGGCTGAATTATTATGATAATAAAATTAATGAATTAGTTAGGATAAGTAAAAATAGGGAAGTAAATATTGAAGTAGAACACTTAGAATCAGACAAGTATTGTTTTGTACTTCAGTTTTAATTGAATAGATATGATATCTTGTTCTCGTAGATGAAATATTTGTAGCAAACTTAATATTTTATGTAATCGTTTAAAAAGATGTGGACCTAATAAATAAATGTATTAACTAAATTATTTTTCAAAAAATATAAGGTAAAATATTATTAATCAAAATTTTAGATAAGACCATAATATTAGTAATCAAATGAAAGGATGTAACAACCTTGTATAAGTATATTGTTCAGAATGTTTCTCTTTTCATAATATTGATATATATCCTCGTAAAGCTGATAATAACATCTAATGATTAATCAATTTGATATATATGTAACTTAATATCATTTACATACTTGAAAAAATTTAATATGATATAGCAAAAGATCTTACAAAATACTGAACTAATATATATATATATACCATAACTTCTTGATGGAATAATATATATAGAGCATGATACTACTAATATTATATATATTTATGTAACTACATTTAAAAATAATAGTTTTAAATTATTTTGTATTTTAATAGTTGATTATATTATTTTAAAAAGTAATTGCATATTATAATTTTATTGACTCACTGATCCACGGTTTAACCACAGTCGATCTGATCCAATAACCTAGTGAACCAGAAATTCATTCGGTTCAGTGTCTAATTGATTTCAGTCGTAATGTTTAGATTATTATGATTGTTCCATATCTATAACAATCATGATTAAGCTACGATTTTTAGATATGGTCCAAAATGTTCATATATAGTTTGTAAGTTTGTATTTTCCTGTTGTAGTGGTCATTTTTTAAGTTTGTATAATATGATATATAACGTTATATGATGAGATTATACATTAACGCTTAGTATAAGCAATGATTTTAGATAGTTTAGTTATGGCTCGATATGTTGACATTGTAATAATGGAATTTATTAAAACATTTGAAGAGAAATTCCCTTTGGTAGTTCTTTTTAGTTTATTTTCACAAAAATAGTCTTCAACAAGAAAAATGACCAAAATAAATTTTTTTAAGGATAAATATGCACATACACCCCTAGGGTTAACTAATCTAGACTTAGGGTTTAAAGTTAAAGGGTGGATTTTGGAGATGGAGTTTGAAATTGTTTTACAAAAATATTAAAAATTTCAAAATAAAAATGGCTATATTGGTTATTTTATTTTTGGAGGGTTATTTTTGTGACCAAAACTTAAAAAATGCTATTTGAGAGAATTACTCATAAATAAAAAATAATGGATTTTACTAAAATGTTATAGGATATTATTTGGTTGTTATGATAAGGGTTAGTTATAATACTTAGTTGTACTTAATAGGTTGAATCAAAATAAATAGATGCAACAACCTTTTTACTTATATTTTTTAGGATGATCATCTTATAATAGAATGGATGATATACCTACTTGAAAAAAAGAAGTTAATGTTATATTAGAGTTTGACCCTTGCACATGCACACGTGTATTTTTTATTTTATATATGTATACATTTATTTTATATAAACGGTTTTTAACAGTCATATGTATTTTTAACATTTACTTGTATTGAATAAATATTTAAAATAATATTTTAAAATAATTTATTATTATATTGAAGAATTTAATTTTGCTTTTTAAAACCCGTGTCTATTTTGTAATGGGAAAATTGTCATTTAAATCACCAACTTTCAAATTTGGTTGAAATAAATCACTAACTTTCTCATAAGCAAAAAAAAAACACTCAAGTTTTGTTGATAAGACATTTCAGTCACAAAATTTTGTCGATCATACCAATTTAGTCATATCGTCAGTTAACATTTATCGTTGACTAACGGTATGCCTAAAATGACTTTGAAAGTTGGTGTTTTTTTGGCACAAATATAAATCAACAATTTTTCAAAATATTGGCTTTTAAATAACTATAACACTAATAAATAAAATTGTAAATAAAAAATAAATTCCATTCAAAAAATAGAAACATAACTCATTGTAAAATTATTAATTAACATATCCTTAATTGAGTATTTTAGTTAAAAATGATTATGATTTTTTTAATTATTTACGATTAATTTTAAAAAACTATTTTTATAATCCTACACGGTGTTTTATAATTTTACTGTCAAAAATTTGGTAGTAAAATATTACTTTAGTTCTTGTTTTTAAACAAAATGAGTTATCGGATAACAAAAAGAGTTATCTATTTTGGTGAAACTTTTTTTTTTTTTTAAATGTAGAAAACCTCTTGTAAAAATTTTATAGAAAATATATAGATTTGTTTGAAGATCTTTATTATAAACTTAAAGAATCATGAATAATTGTTAATCGATAACTTTTTTCATTTAAGAAACAAGAGTTGAATTAATATTTCATCAACAAACTTTTGAAAATAAAATTATAAAACATAATTCAAATATGATTATGTAAATATTTACAAAAATTAGTCGTAAATAATTAAAATATTTTTGTCATTTTATAACCAAGATACTCAATTAATGTATATTAACTAATTATTTTACATTGAGTTTTACTTATACTTTTTATTGGATTTTTTATTTATAATTTTATTTATTAGTGCTTCAGTTATAAAAATATTTTCAATATTTAAAATATATCCAGTATTGTAAAAACAATATTGATTTATATTTGTGCCAAAAAAACATCTACTTTGAAAGCCATTTTAGGCCTACTGTTAGTCAACTATAACTGTTGACTAACGATATGCCTAAATTGGTATTGTCGACGAAATTTTGTGATTAAAATGGCTTGTCAACAATAGTTGAGTGTTTTTTGGGTTTTTGAGAAAATCGGTGCTTTATTTCAACCAAATTTGAAAGTTAGGCTTCAATTGGTAACCACAATTTATGAAAATAATGATGATGAAATTGTTGTTCCTCAAAATTGGTATCAGTTAAGTTGAATTTTCTGTCAGATTATAAAGTCATGAGTCCCACTTTATTCTTCTCATTTCCTCATGAATGAAAAAATTACAAAGAAAAAATTCCTTCTCTATTTTCTATGAGGAATGGAATGAACATAACTTCATATATTTCTGACTTTTTCATTTCATCGATTGAATATTTGTTCATTATATTTTTCATTTTTCCTTTCAATTTAATGGTCACCAATTGAAGCCTTAGTGATTTAAATGACAATTTTCCCATTTTGTAATGCTTATTTATTAATTATTTTAATTTTAATTAATTTGAAAATAAAAATTTATTCTTTTTGAATGACAAAAGACAACAAATGCTAAAAGCTTAATTTCTATGATAATAAAATTAATGAATTAGTTAGGATGAGTAAAAATAGGAAAGCAAATATATTGTAATAAAAAACTTAGAAATATGCAATATTAATGAATTAAGATTTCATTTCCATCTACAACCAAAAAATTTACCAATCTTGTTTTATCTAATTTTTAAAGCTAAATTAAAAAATTTAAAAAATGGTTGTATCACCCTTCATTTCCAAAGCAATAATTTCTAGGATGTAGAGAAAAAATATTGCTGAAGGAATATTTTTTTTTTGAAGGAATATCTTTTCATTTTTCTTATTTTTTTGCATTTATTTCTTAAAACTATATTTTCTAAAGTTACATCAAATTTTTCTACATACAAAATTTTACAGTAAAATTTTTACAGCTACATCCCCACTAAGCATTTTTGTACTTCAGTTTTAAGATCTTTTGGTATATATATACCATAATTTCTTGATGGAATTATCTATAGAGAGCATGATGTGAAAGTTAATATACCGTTATATATATATATATATATATATACCATAATTTCTTGATGGAATAATCTATAGAGAGCATGATGTGATCATGTGAATGTTAATATACCGTAAGAAAACAAAAGATCTTACATAATAATTACTAATATTTGAGAAATATATCATAGCATTATATTTAATTCCTTCCTTGGCAAATATAAATACATGTACTTGGGTACAAGAAAACACACACACAAACATTGTACATAAAAATCTTGATTTCCCGTGTTCTTTATTTCGCATATAATGTCGTCCAAACTCTTAACGCTTATGTTCTTCCTATTCTTTGTCGCGATCCACCACATACCTATGGTGACATGCAGACAATGGTGCATGGCGATGCCTAATGCTTCAGATGAGCAGTTACAAGCCAACATTGACTACGCTTGCAACAACGACGTCGATTGTACACCGATCCAACCAGGGGGAATATGCTATGAGCCAAACACTCTTTATGACCACGCGTCCTATGCGATGAACGCTTATTACCAGAATCATGGTCGCGTGGAAGACTCTTGCAGGTTCAACCGCAGCAGTTGTTGGGTCTTTGTCGACCCAAGTTATGGCTCATGTTTGTACTACACTTAGAAGCAATTTCATTGTTTTGAAATTACGTCTTTACTTGTTTTTATTTCTAATGGATTCAGTATGCCCACATGTTTTTATTTAGGTGTTTTGCTATAACTTGTATTTTGCTGTATTTGCTTGAAAGTTGGCCTTATAATATCAAGTTGTCATTTAATTTTGTACCAACTTCTAAAACAAGAGAAATAAGTATAAGAAAACAAACTTTCTTATGGATTGAAGTAGAGCCGGGCCTAGAATTTGAAAGGCCAGACGCCTTCTGCAGGTGTGAGGATTCGAACTCCGGTCTGGGCGCAAGAGTTATGTATAATTAACCACTACACTACAGACACATTTTTAAGAAAATGTGACTGGTTTATTCATATTATCTGGTGGCCGCAAGCCCATGCTTCTTTTGCTTGGACCCAGAACCGGCTCTGGATTGAAGAAATACGTACAATACAACTCATCAAAAAGTTCTGTGCTTAGAGGTTTAATTTGTGGATTATCTGTGATCATGATTTGATGTATTTTGATATAGGTTCCTTGTAAATCTCTCAGCTGAATCAACATATATACTTATTAATTTATATTTTATTAACTCAAAATTAACCATAATAAATTATTTTGTTTTTAAAATTAATTATAAATGACAACACTCATGTAATAGAATATTTTCTAAAATTTATATATATACAAATGTTTTACTTGATTTATATTTAATTATAATTTTTCATGTCTTAATTTTTTGTTAATAGAAAATATATTTTCAAAATAATAATTAAATAGATAAAAATTATTTTGTTTTCTCAAAATATAATCTTACAATACTAAAAGTTCTAAATACTCAAAGGAGAAGGCATCCACCACAGAAAATAAACTCTTCCAATAAAATTCAACTAAATGTACATGTCATCTGTATAACATTCACATATATACATCGTCAGCAATCTCTTCATCTTCTCATACGATCTTATACAAGCTTTTACGGGTTCCATATTTTTGTTTTCCAATCGAAAAGCACCAAAATAAACATATTTTGCATTAACTCTATTTAGTCTTGACCAATTCAATCGTTTGATTAGCCCTACAAAATATATAAGAAGCCTATACATTTCTTCGAAGGTCTTGAACTAAAACGTATAGTCAAGTTGAAGAGAAAAGGTAAATTTTGATTATGAAAACATTCTTTGATTTCAAAAGATACTCGATCTGATTTATAATTTTACAGATTTAATATGTTCTCAGATTAAAGTCGTGCAACTGAGATTGACGTATTATACATTGAATTATCCTCCAACGTCACATCGATACTCGTATGGTTCGTTACTTGAAAAAAACAAGTTCCAAAAGTCCCCACATGAATACAAATGATTCTGGACACTAAACAACTTAATAGACTTGACAGAATTGACTTCCTAGACAAGACTCGACAAAAATCAACTAAAGACTTTTGAATGTACCAACGAAAAATCTAATGTATGATGAGTTTGTAGCAATTTTTTAGACTTGAACCAGTCAATGTTAATAGCTATCGGATTTACTTGGTCAGGAGGTAGCCATGATGTCTTGAACCTCCCGGGCTTTGGTGTAAACCTAGACAATAGTTATAACACAAGTTCATCCTCTCACAAAACTAATTTTTCTATTGTGCTCATTTTGGCCGTGAACATTCCTGGCAATCATGAGTGAACTTAGAGAATATAGCATTTCCTTCATTCTCCTAAAAACCGTCCCATTTCATACTCACTAGATGATTTTCCATTAGTTTGTTTAGAGGAGTATCATGTACTACTCCATGCATATTTCAAAACTATGGACACAAATCATTAAAAACAAATACTTATCCTATAATCCTTACATGTAGCACTGTTTAATCATCATAGGAAATGAGTATAGACCGAAGTCTTACACTGCTTTGGGCAGATTTAGTTTGACTTAGTTGTCTCTTTGTACCTAATTCTTGGTATCTCCAGTCAGTTAGGTAGAGTTACCGCCAAACCCCATCTTAATTCACAGGCAAACCCATTCCTCTAGATGATATACCAATTGAATCTCATGACCCATCTTTAATGTAAGGATCCTAGGTTGTCATCATGATAAACACAATCTCTTGAGATTAGTTGAAATCAATTGTCTAATGATTTTTGTCATTTTTCAAGATACAATTAACCATTGTACACAAAACTCAGTGCTTGGCACTAGTTTTTTTTAATCGTATTGTGATAATCATCACTAAGTTCATTTTTCCTCTTGCAAACAATTTTATCAGGTAAGCAAAGCTTCCCCCACATTTCTTGAAATTACTCAAAAACATGTATATTTGCAATTAACATCTCTTAAGAGTTTTAAAAATTAATCTACAACTCTTTTAGATTTATATAAAATAAAAAGAAATTTTTGAAAATTATTAAAATTTTCCTTTAAAATGTGTTTCATTCTCAGAAATTTATATTTTTCATAAAATTACTTTCATAGTTTTCAAGTCGATCTATGAATCCAACTTGTATGTTTTTAATCTTTCCAAAACCAAATTTTTGCTTTTTAGCAAATATACATATCTTTACAAGATATTATTTGTGGCATCAAAATAACCACTTTCTTTGGTTATTTTCAACCATATTGACTTTAGAAACTACAATAAACTTGTCAGTTTCAGTCACATTGATCTGAAAATTCTCATTGTGTTTTTTTCCCGCATGATCAAGCTTTATATGACTCGTATTAAAGCATTGATGAAATATGAATGCTTAAGAGCTTGACTCGTATTAAAGCATTGATAAGAGCTTGACTCGTATCAAGCTCTTCCGAACTTAATTTAGGGCGTCGATTCACGAATCCATTTCCATCCATATCATTTGATTTTTAAAAGATCCAAATATTTTTCTCTCATGGTCATCCATGTGTGTAATAACTTAATTAAGTTATCCCATAAATCTGAAAAAAACAAAAAAAGTCATTAGGTATTCTTGATAATCTATATTATAATAGTACACTTTCTAGGCTCCACAACGCTCCACGTCAGCAGTTTTGTGGGCCCTGTATGTATTTTTTAAAAAATTATAGTCTTGGTAAGATGATTACAAACAATGAAATACACTTTAGCCAAGTGGTATAAGGTGTTTAATTAAACATGCAAGATCGTGGGTTCAAACCACGCAGCCATCATTTTTTTATTATTATTTAGGTTATTATCATATGGGCTTTTGTTTGTAAGGTTTTTATGTTTTTTTATAGCTTATTGTTTTAAAGATCAAAATAGTTGGATAAACCCTAAAGCTTAACGAGTTCAAACCAAAAATAGTTAAAAATGGATGCAAAAACGAACAATAAAAAAACAAAAAAAAGCAAGTCTCACGCGGTTGCCTACGCGGATGGCTTAAAGAGCCTTAAAACTATCCTATTATAATATAGTTCAACCCAAAAATAATAAAAAATGAATCCAAAAACGAACCGAACAAAAAAAAAAGTGAATCCCATGCGGCTACCTACGTGGATGGCTTAATGAGGCTTGAATAATATAGATTAAGAGCGCAAAAAGTGAAATCATTGCACATATTTCCTAATATATATTTTCAAAAAATTTGTATGTGAGATAAAATAAAAAAACAACAAAAACTAATTATTTTTGTTATTTATTTAATGAATATGTAATTTCTCTTACATTTTAATAACTACTATAATTTCATTGAAAACATTCCTCACCACCGATTTTAGACTCCGGCGAATGGATTCCCACGGCCACAATAGATGACGCCATAAATAAAAATGCCACATCATTTATGAACAAAACTCAAACTTACAAAAAAACATATATAAAAACCTATCTAATGAAACTTAAACAACGAATGTTAACTTAATTAAGGTTATTTTCAAATTGATAAATCGTTTAATACAAATATAAATACTATAAATATAGAATTATATCAAGTTTTGATCTACGATATAAGAACTATTTACAGCTAAATAAAACACCTACTTTTACACACTAAAACTATATTATAGCCTAACTATTCCTATAAACCTTACTTCGCATATAAATAAAATTTAACTCATTCCTAATATATTTTCAAAAAATTTGTATGTGAAATAAAATACAATAAACAACAAAATTTAAGTATTTTTCGTTATTTATTAAACGAATATGTAATTTCTCTTACATTTTAATAACTACTATAATTTCATTGAAAACATTTCTCACCATCGACTCCAGACTTCGGCGAATGGATTCCCACAGTAGATGACGCCGTAGATAAAAATGCCACATCTTTTATGAACAAAACCCAAACTTACAAAAAACCGTATATAAAAACCGATCTAATGAAACTTAAACAACGAATATTAACTTAATTAAGGTTATTTTTAAATTGATAAATCGTTTAATACAAATATAAATACTATAAATATAGAATTATATCAATTTTTGACATACGATATAAAAACTATTTACAGAAAAAAATAGACACCTACTTTTACACACTAAAAACTCTATTATAACCTAACTGTTCCTATAAACCTTACTTCGCATATAAATAACATTTAACACATTAGATATACAATATTTTCACTTTACACTCTTACTATATTCTTTCCATTTCATTATTATTTGGTGTCATTAGAAGAATCCACTAAACCACTAAATCGAAAAAAATAAACGCAAACATAATGATTCCGGCCCCGCGCTTGCGNTATAACCTAACTGTTCCTATAAACCTTACTTCGCATATAAATAACATTTAACACATTAGATATACAATATTTTCACTTTACACTCTTACTATATTCTTTCCATTTCATTATTATTTGGTGTCATTAGAAGAATCCACTAAACCACTAAATCGAAAAAAATAAACGCAAACATAATGATTCCGGCCCCGCGCTTGCGCGGGGAGTATGCAACTAGTTAAAGCAAATAATTACCTTTTACCAAGTCAAAACATTAACATATATTGGTCAAATAATGTTTTATTCTAAGAGTTATGAGCAGAATAGTTTAATACAAAACTCATGAAATCTTGTAATGA